TATATATATATATATATATATATATATATATTATATATATATATGCATTGTACATCTAAATCTGACTCTCCTTGAGGCATATAAAGTGCGATCAAGATAAAAAAAAGCAGTTTCTTATCAGCTCCAATAAATTATTAATATTTATGATAAATAACACACACAAGGATACTAAATGAATTAAACAAAATATTGTCTAACGAAATAAGTAACTGGAACAATTCATAATATTTATCTTAAAGCCACAATTTAACTTTCTTGTTTAACCATTCCATATTCGTACAGGCATGTCCAATTTTTCCCATTCTTGAGTAATGATATTTTTTTAAACTCAACGACATTATTATTCTGCGAGAAAATCCGCAATAATTACAACCTCCAAATGTAAGTGAAAAATACTTCATTATAGCCGAATGCAGCAACCATAATCATAAGGATATCCTAATTGCCTATTCTCATCAGTGAAAATTCTATAAATCCCTTTTATTCATATAATAATTTTTGTGGATAGTGGCAAAGACAAATTATTTTGTATTTAAGATGCGCTGATGTTTCATTTAACCGACCCGAATGGAGCCGAGTTCTATGTGTTCTATGTTTGAATATAGTATTATTAGTATTATTCTTTCTGTCAATATTCATCGCGATTTTGCAAATTTACATACCCATATCAAGTCGAAGAACATATATAATCAATCTAAAAGCAAAGAAAACTTTCCCATTTACTTCTTTCGGTAGCAAAACTCATCTTTACTTTCTAGCAAAAAGTTATGCATATTTCGCGCACTTTATATATGTACATATAAGTCAACATTTGTACATACTTAGATGTTTATGTCATACAACATTTAGTTGAGAGGTATGTACATAAATATGCATCAAATGTATGTATGTATGTATGTATATGCGTAAACATAACAACAATGTGCGTTAAGCCATTGCCTATTATAAAAAGACTGTTGTTAAATACTTAATTAAACAAACTGTAATATACATATTGATTGAAGTGTTGTAGATGTACAATCACAAGCACCAAACACACACCCATTATAAGTCAATTCAAGTATATGTGAATCTAACAAATTACACACACACACACATTTCACGCTAACACAACGTAACAGAATCAGATATGTACATATGTATGCATTGCTATGTGTAATTTATTAAAATGACATAATTTATATATATATTCGCGTCTCAAGAGAGACGCATACATACATAACATAAGCATCAGACTGTCACAGTTCCATACACATAGTTGTGTACTATGTTTCAGGCGTTGAAATATACATAAATAAATTTGTAATAGGTACAATGCCCTACAAAAGTTTGTGTAGATGGTTTATTTTGCTTATTACACTTTTAAAGACAGAATGGTTCGAGCTATATGTAGTTCTATAGAAAAAAACACATCTATAGACGCGTATCTAGAAACTATACACTAGCTTTAGTCTATAGTCTAATCAAAAGCAAGGGCAAAGGCGAAAGCAAAGCAAACAAAAACTTATATTTACGTTAACTATGCTTCCAATATTCTGTGTTTTTATTTAAATGTTTACTTAGTAAATAGTGCATATGAGAAAAAGTTTTGCAATATCTACGGTTTTATTTAGTGATCCTAAGCTAATAATAAAAAGAAGGAGAAGCACTTTGCATTTGTACATGCTAATTACATTCAACAAATTAATTTTATAATATGTATGTATATAAGTTCATCCCCTCAGTCCACAAATGCCTTTTCATTTCATTGTGCATCCAAGATACGAATACATACGATACATACGAATATATTTATATTCATATTTGTAACTACTCTCTCTCTGCCTTTGTCTACTTTTCTTTCTATCTCTCACTATCACTTGATTTCCATTTAAATAATTTGCATTCAATTAAAAATAAAGTTATAAAAAAATTATAAGTTATAAAAAATGAGATAATTACAATTAATATTGGTTAATTGTTCCGTTTATTTTTAATAGGATTTTTAGTAAATAAGTAGATATAAATATGTATTGTTAGGAGGTTAATATAAATAAACGTATCTATACTTAAGAAGTATTTATATACTTATATCTATACATACATATAAAATGTTATATGCACCCTACTTATTATAAATTCGTAGTTACATTACTTATTAACAAACGAAACAAAAGCAAAAATAAGAAAGGCATTAATAAGGATATAACGCAAAAATTAATTTAGAAATTAATTTAATGTATTAAAACAATTAATTATACAAACGAATACTGATATATACAAAATAAAAAGGAATGTTGAGAAGAAATACTTATAACTATTTATTTTCCTCAGATTTAGGGAATAAACTCAACTTCACCAGAATGAATACATCTGTAAGTATAGACAAACTATATATATTTATAAATATTATACCATAGTGATTTTTGGCTTTCTTTTTAGGTTTATTGATAGCTTTAAGTAAATATCGTACTAATAAAACAATATCAATTAAGATCTTAAACATCCATAAAGTAAGCGAAAGTACATATTCTTGAAGCTACAACACTAAATTCGTGTTACAGTTGTCCTCGTCACTGTATACGTATTTCAAGCCCTTTTTGGCAGCACTTTCAGCATAACAGTGCAGTTTTAGTAGTTTTTTTCTCAATTTGCCACGCCCCTACGTAGACACTTCATTTTTGGTCAGCTCATAGAACAAGCTAACGTTAACCTAACTCCTAAAGAGGCCTAACAATTATTTGGGGGATCGATAGAGGAGGTAACTTAACTATGAAAATTTAAAGTTTCTGGCTCTTATACTTTATGAGATATAAACTTTTGCGGTTTACCACGCCTCCTGTGGGCGGAAGTATATCCGCCAAAACTTTTTTGTCTTGGGAGGTCAGCCCGAGTATATATACCAAATTTTAGGTCTCTAGCATCAAAAGTTCCCAAAATATAGCAGAAAGTGAAAAATCACTATATCTTCAGGTCCGATTTGCCTTTAATCTTTATGGAATCATAACATTAGCTCAGATGCAAGATTTCTAGCTTTAAAACTGTAGGAGATACAGTTTTATCCGATTTGCCACGGCCCCAATGGGCGTAGATATATCCGTCATAGCACGTGATCTTGGATGGTCGATTCTACATTCCAAACTTCAGCTCTGGCTCATCAACTAATATGTCTTCTGGTACATCGGAAAAAGCATTTTCCGATTCGCCACGCCTATAGTGGGTCGGGAAAATTCTATAACATTATAAATCGGAGATATACACGAGTAGTGTTCCAAATTTCAAGTCTCTAGCTTCAATAGTGCCGAAATAAACTCCGTTCATATGGACAGTCGGACGGACAGCAAGACGGACATTGCACAAAACCAATTTCGTGAATGAGTATAATGAGAAACCTAGGAATATAATTCCTATTGATTTTATGATGTTACTACTTCAGTTGGCATATACATATATTCCAAATTTTTAGTCTCTAGCCCTATTGCTATTTGAAATATAACTGAATTTGTGAAAGTTAGAAAAATACAGATCCGATTTACCATTCCCTAAATGGACCATAATTTGTCAAAATGTGGAAGACGTTTAGGGTACCGTATCTGGTGTTATAAAGCAATGGATATGAAATGAGACCGTGAACTGTGAACTTTATAGGAGTACGAGTATTTCGCAGGAGAAGAATGCGGTCTGGCAGGTGTTCCAATTGAGCTGCTTTAAATCTGTAGCCTAGAGGGATCGAGTGGCAAGTGAAATTATGGTGCAAGTGGATTTGGATGAACTGATTGTTTGGAGCATATGACATATGGTAAAGCAATTAAACGTCCCACAATAAGAGGTAAGGATCAATATAGGTTGAATAATTTAATGCTTTGTCGTTTCCATTTTTTCGTCCAAGAGAATTTATTAATGGAAGATAAACGATGACTGACAAAAATATGTGAGGGTCTGTAGCAAATTACAGATGACACAGCTGCATATGTAGAATTATAATTGGCTAAATGTAGTGCTGAAATATCGCTTGTGCAAATAATTTAAAGGATTCGGCCCTGGGGAATACCTATTTGATAAAACTTTCTGTGAAAAAGTGACCATTGATGTGAATAGCAAACTGTCTGTTTGTAGGCCAGAAAGAGATATGTTTTAATAAAGATGGAGATATCAAGGGTGTATTATTATATTTTTATAAAATATACACTTTTTAAGGGATCCGATTTGATTTTGAAAAATTGCATTACAAAAACACGGTTCCTGTTTATAATGCAAATAATGTAATGTAATAGATATGTAGCGTTTTATTTATTTGTCTGTATATTGTAAAACATACATCGTATGTCAGAGTTTTCTTGCTTCTCAATTATATTTTGTGATAAAGGCCAGATGTATAATATTCTTATTTTTGTATACATTTATAATAAGTAGGTTAAACTAAAATTTTTTTTGCATACTTGAAAAATTATCACTAAAACGATTTGATTTTAATTGTGATTTATATTTTATGAAATAAACAGAATGATTTAAGTTTATATTTTAAATTTTTTATTTACAATATTACTATTAAAACTTATATTTTTGTATAGTTGAATTATGATACTTTTATTATCATTACAATATTTTATATTTGTCGAGAGGAATTCAATTTTAAACAGCCAGACCGACGAACCAATTAATACACGTATGCATTTAAATTCCATAGTTTAGCATAAACTATATTCCGTTCCAAGAAATTTGCAGTTTAATTAAATTGTTTATAAAACCTTACATCATTAGAGTACATATAATAAACATTTCACAATATTTTTAATTATTATTATTCATTGGAAACGAACATACATATATATATATATATATATATATATGTTAATGTTAATAATGTTATGTTAGGTTAATAAATGTGATATAGCTCAATTTTTTAATGTTTACTTCCATATAACTACTGCTAGAAGAAACGCCTCTGATGAAGAAATATGCATGCAATATTACTTAACATACTTGCTATCCATTAATATTTGACTTTTTTTGTAATTAATAAGTATATATAATAGTGTATACTATACTATTATTAAAGAGGTAATTATGTTTGTTATTTAAGTTTTTGTTTTCTATCAAACACAGTTAGTGGATACCAGAAACAACTTCTATTTAAATCGTAATACCTATGATTAATTTTATAAATAAATATAATGAAAAAGAGATATACATAATAACGGATAGATAGACACATAAACGGATTTATATTCATCAAATCCATTATTCCGATGTCAAACAAAATAAATTGAATAATGCAACTGTGGACTTGGCTCTTAGCAAAACTAAGAAGCTGCCATCAGAAGCTGGACGTAAACAATATATATAACTATATATCTAGAGGATTCAAAACCAGCCGCCACTTCCTAGCTTTGAGCTAAGTCCGCCAATGCCTTTGCCTAGCAGGTTGCCAACACGTCCAGCTACCACATTGGTAACTGCCGCTGCTTGAGCGGCTCCAATTTTTGGCTTTGGCATGCTGCGCGATGCATGGGTACCTGACTCTCCGCCCTCACTGCCGTCCTCTTCATCACCATTACGCATGTCGTCACAATTTCTAAAAGATGCAAGCATTACATAATCTTAGGTTAATGACCCTTATTTTCGGTTGTGACTACGTGGCTACTTACAACTCTCCATCGGCAACATCAGGCATAGTCAGCGCACAGGTTGCCTCTTCGGCAGTTATTCGTTGTATAACTGACTGATATGCTTTTGAATTTAACTTGTCCTCAAGCACACCTTGCAATTCAAAGTCCGAATAAATTTTCTGGTTTAAAATACATAATACAGTAGTTTTAATTAAGTCGAGTCTATGTATATGTATATATAATTAAAATCAAAAAAGTTATTGAATTGAATAAAAAATTACATTACATTATTTTTGGCCAATTCTTAAAACGAGCTAACAGTAATCTAACTCCAAAATTTTAAGACTTACGCTCAAAAAATGTAAAATGTAAATTACATGGTAGTTTTCAATATGCCACGCCCCTAAATAGGCTAAATAAATTTGTGTATATTCCGAAGCACAAGTCTCTACTACTTGAAATAACCTTTTGCAAATATGTGGGTAAGGAGGTGGATATAGAGGCGGGGGGTAAATTTTAACAAAAGCCGAAATATACATTTTAAATTTGGAGACTCTAGCTTTAAAGATGTATGAGATATAATTTTATAACTGATCTTAATTGAACCTATCGCAAATGTATGAAAATTGAATACGGTGAAATTGTATTATTCAGACTAATAAGGGAACAACCAATGTAATTTGTGTTTTAAAGTAAAAATATCATTGATACGATATTTAAAAATATTCGATAGCCCTAGCCTTTTGCAACCTTTGAAGAGTTGGGGGTTTATTGAAACTAAACTTTAATCTAAATTTAAGGATTTTAATTGATATTTGTAGCCTCAATGTTTTACAGCATCATCACCCTAATCAATAATATATATACTTTATAGATATAGATTTCGATAACACCACCATAACCTGATTTAAAAATTCAATGAGTTCAGGTTATACACAATTATATACACATCTACAAAATGAAAACACAAAGTATAGCATTATGTCATGTTCTAATTATTTCTATTTTCAGTATTTTTATATGCGAATTCGTATCTATTACCTTAATAATATGAGAGATAGACGTGACCTGAGCATAGTGCAAGGAGTGATCCATACGTTCTGATAGCCAAGTGGAGAGCATATTTACTTGCTGAGAGTACCATTGCTCAAAGAAATTTAGTGTCCATAGATCATCGCCGATTTTCCCACGTATTTGATCCATATTGTTTCGAAAAAAATTCACATATCCTTGTCCGAGATCCTTGCCAGAGCTCGAGACATTTGTAAAACTAAGAATTGATCCAATGAGACTGCCCTCATCATAACGCCCTAACTTCGACAAAGTCGACTCTAGCACTGACATAAGTTTACCACTTAAACCTTGTGTCATGGCTACATTCGCTTTATCAATTTGCTCATCGATTCTTGCATGGAATTTGTACTACAAAATGTAATAATATTTATAATATTTACATATTTGTGTCTTCATGTGTGTGTGTTTGTGCTCGCGCTTGTCTTACTTACCAGATCGATGCCGTCGATGGTAGTTAATTTAAAGCTTTGATTTTTAGCATCTAATATCACATTTACCATAGCACACATCTCTGCTGGTATTATATAATCGGTCGAAATAAAGGCAATATTTTTCTTTAACCACGACTGAAACGACGAATCCGTTCGCTGTATACACTGTTCAATCATATCCACGGCCATCATCTTTAGTCGCTGCTCCAAATGCTGTCGGAATTCGGCGTCTGGCCAATGCAGATCTCTAATAAAAGATTGCAATGCATCCAATTTCCAGAATAAATCTTCCGATGTTGCACAACCATTTCTGTGCAATCAAATAAGTAAATCATTGATAAGACATTAATACATTAATATTCTGTCAGCAGATATTTTGTAAGTGTAAATGGAGTATATATTATATATGCAATACATCAATTTATTAAATAATCATTTATTTTATATATTATTACAGTGATCTGCGCTACAGTTCTTTGCTAAAATATTATATTCAGATAATTTAACCGATCCCTAGTTAGTAAACTCAATTTTATTATCCAATTTAATATTATCTTGTTTTGAAAAAAAAAAAAAAAAAAAAAAAAAAACAACTTTAGTAAAATGTGCACGTATTTTAGATATGCAAATCCCTAATAGCCTAATTTGAAAAATTTTTTTAGATACTCACTACTATCTGAACGTATAACTATTATAATAATATAATATAACTAAAAAATTGGCGAGTAACTTCAATTACAAGCAAGCAAATGCAACTACAAAAATTTGAATAGGGATGCTTAGTCAACATTTAATTTCTAATGCTATGAAAAGGTGTTATATTACCGTAGTCATTAATTGGTTATTGAAAATAATTATAGGTAATAAGCGCACGCATAATGAGAGTTTAGTCATTCCAAATTTATTCGATCTTGTATTCAACTTTAATTTCAATTATGTGTTCAAAACACCCATTTAGAAATGAGTATTGAGCAGATTTCTTTAAAAACTACATAAAATATGGTTTTTCGAGACACGATGTCTATCAACTATCTGATAATATAATATATTGTTATTCGTCAACTTTATTATTTCATTTAAATACTCTAACTTTAATTTTAACTCTCTTTAGCAAAATCAATAGCGCCCACCCCCAAATTTCAGATGAGAAACAATTTTTAGACAATTGCTGAAAACAAAACAACATATTCTTTAAATGCAAATAAGTTATGTTAAAACTCAATAGAAATTACAGACGTCACTGAAATATGCTTGATTGCATTGTCAAATATAAAATTACGATTTACATCGTAGACATGTTTTTAGACAACTACTAAAGTTTGTGTAAAAATCTGAAATTATTGATATTATATTTTATTGTAATGTAGTTTGCAACGTTTACGAATACTGTGCAGTCAGTAGCATCCGAAGCACCGTTCTTATTTGTTATTTTTTGTACGGAAAAAACGCTCATTATATATATATATATATGTATAGGGCTTATTGAGTTGCTCGATTTGTGAATTTAGGCAGCAATTATGCATTGTATTCTTATTATTGGTCAATTTTGTTACCATACATATTATGTATATACAAAATGTGATCATCATTGTCATGTATTGTCGAATTTTAATAGTGAGAAATCAATCAATATATGAATATATGTTAAATCTACGTCGTGATCTAGTTAAATCAATTTTTGAAGCAGCAACAAACACAAAATGCAAAGAGAACATATTTTGAAGTATCTTAGATAGAGGCATTAATGGTAAAAACCTCGATTCGTCAACACCACCCGCCGCAGCCTCAGCAGCTGTGCATTTCGGTAGTTTCGGCACATAAAAATTGATTTGATCTTTCTTGCCGCTCAGCAGGGCCGCAGGATTAAGAGCAGCCGTGTTTAAAGCTTGGGCGGCATTATTTAATGCAGCTGGATTCAAGGCGGCGTTAATCCTAAATTTTCAGCACAAATATGAAAATAGAAAAAATGCAGGGCACACATTTCAATAGGTAAAAAATGATTGAGGCGAAAATATTATGAGAAAGGCAGAGAGGGAACGATGAGCGAACAGAGAAAAACAGAAACTGAGAGAGTATAGAGCGAGGAATAGTATAGAGAGAGTAAGTATAGAGAGAAGAGATTAGGAGAGGGTGCAGTGCTCGCAATGCCAAATTAACATTTTCTATTGTCATAAGACTCCTGTCAATCGGATCATTATTATATGTAATGGAGGACAAAATTATTTTGACAACAAATTGCAAAAAGTTAAACCGCTTTTTTCTGCATACTGTACATCATATTTTTAGGAGAGTACAGCTTTAAGTGAACAATATATTGCATTGATAACATAATTCTTTTTTTTATAATTAATTGCATGGCAGGTTTTCATTTTCTGCCTGAGAAAAGTATTTTGACATTCCTTATATTCATTTTTGGTAAAATACGTATTTTAATGTTGTACAAAATACGTATTTTAATTCTCAAATTATTTTTCGTGTCCTCTTTAATAATAGCCAAGTGATTAACTGAGATCTTTAAAAAATCAATTGGTCACGAAGAATAATGCAGGTAATGTACTCAAAAATCGGGAAGATTATGCAAAAACCCCTGTAGAAGACAGCATCATATTGATAAAACTGACAGATCTTGTCTATTTAACTAAAAAATAATCATAGATTATCAATAAGTAGAAAAGTCACAAGTCGGCGAAAGAAGATAAATTTTTTTAAGCTATAGATTTTCCAATACCCTTAATATTACTATAATAAGCCAATAAAGTAATGATTTGATAATCCTTCATAGACAAGCCGCAATTATTCTGGGAACAAGTATTATTGATAGACGATAGTTTTTTGAGTATCAGGGATAAAAAAGCGATTTATAGCAAGTTGACAAAGAATATTTGCAAAGAAAGTCAATACATTAATTGGCTACCTCAGAGCCCTGATCTTACTATTATAGAGAATGTGTGAACTTATATACAAGTAAAACGTAGCTTAAACTTTTCAAACCCGCACAAGAAGACTGATTGCTGAGGTTCGACGACTTTGGCAAGATGTTTCATTAGAACATTAAAAATTGATAAATGCAATATTTTGGTCATTTAAAGCTTTTAATTTTGCTCCCTCCTAAAAATGGAATTTTGCAATGTGTTGTCAAAATACTTTTGCCTTCCTTTGTATATATATAATGTCTAACATTAATACTACTGCAACTATATTTAATATTAAATTAAAAAGTTGACCTGTAGATTGAAGAATTACAATAAAGTAGATACGTATAGTAGTATATATATATATATATATATATATATATATATATATATATATATATATATA